TAATGGTGGAAAGAATTTTTAACCATCTGATTTTATCAATCACAAGGATCAAGAGAAGCTCTAATGAATCTCTAAATTTGAATCAGCCACTATGGCTAATTCTGATGAATTTTAATTTAAATTCAAATCAGCTTTGCCTGATTCCTTTCCTATATTAGAGGCAAAAACAAAGCTTGCAATGCATTCAGCCATGTTCTATAGTACAACAACAAAATATTAGCATCCATAGAAAGAGCAGTAACAAAAATAGAAGGCAAAACAAAAAAAAAAACAAAAAAAAAGAAAGAAAGAAAAAAAAGGAAGGTCAATGAAAAAATGGTTTTACCACCCAAGTAGGGAGGTAAGCGGTTTGATTCGGATGGGATTAAAGGAAAGTTTAGCACCAAATAGAAGTTTTCAATTTTGTTAGTTGAGAAACTGAAGTAGATCACATGATACGGTTTGTTTTTTATCCGTTTTATCGTTGTGTAGGAAAAAGATTTTTATGAGATCTTAAAGTATGTTATAAAAATTTGTAAAATCTTACAATGAAAATAAATGAAGAAGAATGGTGAAAGTTATTTTATAAATACCTTCCTAATTTTTATTAGAAGACCTATATTATTAATTACTCATATTCTAATGTTTAAAGAATCAAAATATTTAAATATAATATTTCCGTAAGTTTGATTTATATCAGTGTAAAAATTTTCAAAATCAAAATAGATCATTAATTGAAATTTTAATTTTCTTATACCCTACACCCAGGTTAAGTAGATACCATGTGGGTATAGGCTTCTAAAGGAATCCAAAATGGGCAATTAGTTGGGTGGCTCAGTTCCATCTAGCACCTAACGCCTAACCTAATTAAAAACCAAAAATAAAATTAGTTGAATTCGACAAACAGCAATAGATGGGATGATTCGAATCACATGCTTACATATTAGTTTAATAGAAGGAAAATCACACATGCTGTGCCAAATTAATAAAAATATATTTAAAAAAAATAATAATAAATTATATAAAAATGAAAAAAAAAATAGTTGTTACTGATTTTGCATATATATGATTACTTAACCAACCACTTATCCAATATATAGATTATATGGAGCATTTGCTTAAACAAATATACTTCTAGATTTATGTCAAGTAATTGAGTATTTAACTATGTTTCATGATTCATGGACAAGTGATGCACTATTTTATTTCTTTAATGTTTGATAGGCAAGAATTTACATAAACTTTTCCTTATTTATTTGGCATTCCCATAATGATTTTTTTTTTCCAGCATACATAATACACATAATTCGATGTTCACAACTTGACATAAATATAACACACATTGATAGTGCTTGAAACTGTTGATGTTCATTTTACAAAGGGTTTATCACTGAAGTTAGAGTTGACAACAGGTGATTGTCATAGTTATGTCAATTCATCTAGGTTGTTGACTCTGCATATAGACTTGGTAATTTTTGACTTCATCCACCTAGGATGTGACTAGCAGCTTCCTCATGCCAACCACTGTTAGGATGTAATGAGCAATTTCCTCGTGCCAAAAATGGCTTGTGAGAATTGATGGTACGTAAATAGGACACGTAGATTCAGATTTAGAGTCGAAAATGCTTGAAAGTTAGTCAAAAAAGGGCGTGTTTGGAGGGCGAAAATGCAAAATAGCCCTGAAACCACTGTTGGGATGTAACAAGCAGCTTCCCTGTGCCAAATATAACCTGTGGGGACAGACGGTCCATAAATAGGACACGTAGATTAGGACCCCATCTTGCTTGACACTAGTTGGGTAAAAGATTTAGACTTGGAACTATGAACTGGATGAGTTACATTGCAGCAAGACATTCTTGGTTTATATCTTAAGATATAATTTTTAAGAAAAAATTTCAAAATTTTGTTTGGTTCAAATTTTTTGAAATTTTTTAATTTTTTTTTTCAAAATCACTCTCTCCCCTACACATCAATCAATCACTTTTTCTCTCTCTTCTCTCCTTCTCAATCACTTTTTCTCTCTCATACACATCTACTCAACTATAACAAAAATATCAAATCATCCCAAACTCCCAAACTCCAAAACTATTTTCAAAATATACAACCAAACAAACCAAAAAAATTTCTAAACACTCTCCCCAAATTTTTTTTTAAAATTTATCTCAAAATACAAACCAAACACACCCTCTGTTTTTTTAGTTGAATTTCTAAGCTGTTAACTCCATGTTTGGGTTCTCTGCCTTGGTGATTGCACATGATTGGCTTGGCTCGTATGTGCCAACCTAGTTGGGAGATACTCAAGTCGACAATGATGCATTTTCATCACCTTGGCCTCTGTATGTATAAGTTGTTGTTTTTATTTTTTGTTTTGTTTTGTTTTTTTTTCTCTATTTTATCTTTAGACATTATTAAAATTTCAATTTTAAATGTTCTTACATTATTATTAATTGTTCAGAACCATATCCATTTGTGTTGTTTAAATGTGCTGCTCACAAGTAGTAGTAGAAGTAGTTTTGATTTGTAAAAAGAAAGGGAAGATCAATATCTATCTCCAACTCTGCTTCTAGTATGATCCGTTGTTGCATATTGATTCAAATATTTTTTTTTTACCTTCCATTTATGGAAGTAAAACATAAAAAAATGGAAAACTCTAGCATCACTTTCGAACTTTAACATAGCTTTCATAAATGAACAATGACTATACTGATAATAGGACAATTATCAATGTGCTTTTTTTATTTTTGAAGTTTCTTTCGAGCCTCTAGTCTACATGTCATGTGTTTGCCCTGTTTAATATCACTTTGTTGAAATGGGCTTTTTAGCTTTTGATGAAATTATAATGGAGATTTATTTTTATCTTAATACTAATTTGGAATTATGAATTGTCTGTGTCAATACTAATTTGTTTGTCAGTTGAATTTCTAAGTTGCTAACTGCAATTTGAATTGTTTGTGAAAATTTATTTAGAAAAATTACTAGAATTTTTTTTTTAAGTTCTTTCTTTCTTTTCTTTTATTTATTATTTTTTTTATACATTCGAGTATGCAAAACTAATGATTAATTTGAAAAGATTAACTACATTCGAGTTTTATATGACTTTCTTTTATAATTTTAAATATGTTAATATTCAGTCAATACTAATGATTAATTTTAGTTTTCCAAGTGATTTTTGGCGTGGAATTGTGGATACGAATTTTTTGGGACAACTATGGAGGACATTGTTTTTAGTCTATAAATTACTATTGTTCATATAGATTACTTTTTTGGCATGGTACAGATTACTTTTATGGCGTGGTACAAATTATTATTATTATTATTATTTTTGATAAATGCGTGATACAAATTAGTTTTTGATGTGGTGCAAATTAACTTTTGGCATGATATTGTGGATATTAATTTTTTGTGTACAGAGGGCATGGTTTTTGTTTAATCCTCTGTCCTGTATGGAATTACATTTTTGAGATTGGATTATACTTCGTTTGTATGAAATTTCTATTACGTTTGAAATTTGACGTTAAATATGACTTTTTTGGATGGTTGAAAGTGAAATTTCTGCACGTTCTAGAATGGTTGATAATACAATCAGTATATGAATTATTTTGTTTATATACATGGTATAGGTTGTACTAATAATGGAAGGTGGTCGAGAAATTAATTTAAAAGAAAAATAGATTATAATTGTTAGAATTTATCATAAGCCTACCACCACTACCACCTCACCTACTCCACTAAACCTAACCCACTACACCACTACCACCTCCACTTCACCTACTCTCCACCTACTCCCAAACACACTCCCATATAATAGGAATCCTTGTAATTGTAATATATCAATAAACATCAATCAATAATACATAAATTTTTACATGGTATCAGAGCAAGGTTAAGACCTTAGTATTTCTCGCTTCACCGGCGGGCGGCAACCTCGCCTTGGCCGCCCGCCGGACCTCAACCTATTCCGCTTATTTTCTACACATACCTTGACTTCTTCAACATTTTCTTACACCCCTCCTCCGCTATGTCGGCGGCGGCACCCGCATCATCGTCTAGCCTATGGTTGATAATATAATCAGTATATGGATTATTTTGTTTGCATACAAGGTATAGGTTGCACTAATAATGGAATAAATACAGGTGGTCGAGAAATTAATTAAAAAAAATAGATTATAATGTTTTTGGCGACTAAATATTTGGTAGCCAAAAATGTAAGTAAAGATTTTTGGTGACTAAATATTTAGTAGCAAAAAAAAAAAAAAAAACAAAAAACTTTTGGCAACCAAATAGTTAGTAGCCAAAATAATATTGTCGACTAAATATTTTAGTCACGAAAGAACAATCCACCTTCGGTGACAAAAACGTTTGGCCGTAAAATACAATACAATGAAAATATCCAATCTTTTGGCGACTAAACTATTTGGTGGCTAATGGTGGTATAAAACGGTGACAAAACTATGTAGTCACTAAATGTGTTATTATTGGCGACTAAAAAGTTTTAGCGACTAAATATTGTAGTCGCTGAAAGAGAATTTCATTTTTATTTGATTATTTTCAGCTACTAAATCTTTCGTCGCCAAAAAGTGACCATTGGCAACTAAGTTTGTTTTAGTAGCCGAAGATAATATAAGTCACCATTGACTATTTGCCGACAAGGCTTCGGCAACTAAATGGGCGACGAATAACTTTAGTTGCCAATGACTTTCGGTGACTAAAAAAGAACCTTCGGCGATTAAAAATTTGATAGCTGAAAATGTGATTTCCTGTAGTGTGAAAGCAAACTTGATCATATATTTAATAAGAAAACCTGAAAAATAAAATGTTCCAATCATCTCGTGCAAGGAGCATACCAAAGATACAGTATAAGAGTGAACAACAGATAAGATACTGCTTCAATAATTCAGTTTATAGTTGTCAAGAGGATCAGGAGTCAACAAAAAAATACTTGGGATGTAAAAATTAATAAGTAAGAAGAAATAACATCCGCTTCAATTTACTCAAAGGAAAGGTGAAACGTTGAGACAAACCTGACTCATAACTTCCTTTATCATTTCTCTTGCCATCTCATTCTGCTTCTTATCACCAGACACGTGCACTGTCCTTTCCTTAGATTGGTCACCATCAGGAAGACATTGTGGTAGCAACTGAACAAAATGACAATGTCAGTATTGTAAGATTTCTGAAAGCTTTTCTGTATATTCCATTGTATCAAAGATTACAGTCAGATCTTAGATTATATAGCCCTAAATCCTAAACCAAAAAGGAAAATACAAATACAATTATATCTCTAACAGGACTAACACAATCATGCCTCTAATAGGACTCTAATTTGTACAAAACACATAACAATATATTCTATATTCTCACACCCCCGCTCAAACTCAAGGTGTTTTAGTAGAAAACACTGAGAGTTTGCTAAGAAGAAACTGAAACCGAGCGGTAGTGTGAGTCTTGGTGAAGAAGTCCGCAAGTTGCAAAGCTGAAGGGATAAAAGGAAGCGAGATAGAGGCAGACTGCAGATGCTGGCGAACAAAGTGACAATCAATCTCAATATGTTTCGTCCGCTCATGAAAGACAGTATTGTGGGCAATCTGAACAGCATTGCAGTTGTCACAATAGAGAGATATCGGAGAAGACTGAGAGACACCCGTATCACACAAGAGACAACGAAGCCAAACAATCTCAGCAGTGGCATGAGCCATAGCATGATACTCAGCTTCGGCAGTAGAACGAGCAACGACTGACTGTTTCTTACTTTTCCAAGAGATCAAGGAATCTCCAAGAAACATACAGAAACCAGACGTAGACTTACGATCAGTAACATCACCGGCCCAATCAGAGTCAGCATAAGTCACCAAGTCCAAAGAGGAAGTAGAGGACAACAATAAGCCTTGAAAGATGGTACCGCTGAGATAGCGAAGAACGCGAACCAAAGCAGCCCAATGAGTAGAGCGAGGAGCATAAACGAACTGACTAACCACATAAACAGTATAAGCAAGATCAGGGTGAGTGACAGTCAAATAAACTAAACATCCCACAAGCTCGCGATATAAAGTGGGATCATCCTGAGGGACACCATCAATAGAGTTAAGCTTCACATTAAGCTCAATAGGTGTATCAGAAACCTTAGTATCAGTAAGACCAGCACAATGAATGACTTCATTAGCATACTTGGCCTGAGACAGAAAATAGCCTTTGGGAGAAAAAGCAACCTCAATACAAAGAAAATACCGTAATGGACCTAAATCCTTTATTTCGAAGGTGCGGAAGAGATACTGCTTGACCTCAAAGATAGCAGAAGAATCCGAGCCAGTGATGATCATATCGTCCACATAGAGTAAGAGAGTAACAAAACCAGCCGAGGTATGTCGCAGAAATAAAACCGAGTCGAAAGCCGAGGGATGAAACCCGAGCTCGGTAACAGCAGTCTGAAATCGATCATACTAAGCACGAGGAGACTATTTTAGACCATACAGAGCACGCCGAAGACGACAAACTTGACCAGAGGGATGGTGGAGGCCAGGGGGAGGACACATGTAAACCTCCTCAGTGAGATGGCCATTAAGAAAAGCATTCTTAACATCCATCTGATAGAGAGGCCAAGAACAAACAGCAGCAACAGAGATCAAAGTACGGACAGTAGTCATTTTGGCAATAGGAGCAAATGTCTCTTCATAATCAATACCATACTCTTGAGAGAAACCTTTGGCAACCAGACGAGCTTTGTAACGCTCAAGAGAACCATCAGAATGAGTCTTGACTTTGTAAATCCATTTGCAACCAACCAGGTTCTTATCAACAGGCAAAGGAACAAACTCCCAAGTACTAGTTTTTTGTAAAGCAGACAACTCATCCTCCATAACTCGAACCCAATGAGGATTCTGACAGGCCTCCTTGTAAGACTGAGGTTCTACAAAAGAGTGAATAGCAGACAAAAAGGTACGATAGGAAGCAGAAAAACAAGTATTAGACCAACCCAACCTGTTTGGAGGATGACGTGCTCGAGAAGGATATCGGTGTGCAGTAAGATCAGAGTCGTCAGAAACAGAGGGAGCAGCAGCAGGGGTAGAGACAACCGGTGGAGGAGGAGCCTTGCGACGAGAATAAACTAACAACGGAGGAGGAGAAGAAGTCGAAGGAAGAGAAGAAGCCGAAGAAGGAGAAACAGCTAAAGGTATCGGAGGAGAAAATGGAACAAGCTTAGGGGGAACGGTGGAGATGTACTCATCAGACGAGACCTCAGAAGGAAATGGGTCAATGTGAACCAAATCCTCTTTGGAAACTGGAGCAGTGAGAGGGCGAAGCTAGAAGTAAGATAGACGTTCAAGAAAGGCAATATGACGGGAGACATAAAGACGACGGGAAACAGGGTCGTAACACCGATAACCTTTCTGAGTAGGACTATAACCCAAAAAGACATAGAGGACAGACCGGGCACTAAGTTTGGTCCTATCTTTGTGGGAAAGAAGAACAAAATAGGCAGACCCAAACACACGAAGAAGGGAATAGTTAGGAATTTGGGAGAACAAAGCCTCATAAGGAGACCGACCAGAAAGAAGGGGAGTAGACATGCAATTAAGACATGCAATTAAGACATGCAATTAAGAAGAAAAGTAGCAGTAAGAACTGCCTCCCCCCAGAATGGAGCCGGAACTGAGGCAGAGAGAAGAAGAGACCTAGCGGTCTCAAGAAGATGACGGTGTTTACGCTCAGCTCGACCATTTTGGGTTGGTGTATCTGTACAGGAAGTTTGGTGAATGGTACCCAAATTGGCCAAATACTCACAGAACTTATTTTTAAAATAATCCCCACCCAAGTCAGACCGTAACACTTTAATTGTAGACCCAAATTGAGTAGTAATCATAGACTGAAAGGTACAGTATATCTGATAGAAATCGGACTTATGAGTCATAAGATAAATCCAAGTGTAACGGATGCAGTCATCAATAAATGACACATAGTATGCAGAACCCCCTTTGGTGAGAACAGGAGAAAGGCCCCAAACATCAGTATAAGCTAAAGAAAACGGTGTATCAGATATAGAAGTACTTTTACGAAAAGGTAAGGCTGTTATTTTGGCAAGTTTACACCCCCGACATTCAGTAAATTCACTAGGAGAAACTTTACCCAAAATACCTGATTGAGCTAAAGACCGTAAGCGGTCAGCGAACAAATGCCCTAATCGATAATGCCATAAGTAAAAAGGACTAGACAAAGAATCTAACTGAAAAGAGGAAAAGGCAGTCAAAGAGGTTGCTATAGGCAGATGCAAGCTCTTCACTACATAGAGGTCTCCAATTCTACGGCTGGTCCCAATCTGCTGCTTAGACATTCGATCCTGTACAGAACAGATAGCAGAAGAAAAGATAACATCAAAACCAGCGGCATCAAGTTGATTGATGGATAATAAACTGACAGATAACTGAGGAACATAAAGGGCAGATGGAATAGAGACAACAGACATGGCAGACGGTAGGACAGACCCAACAGATACAACAGACATACCAGATCCATTAGCAGTATTGACAGTAATAGGAAAGGGAGGAGGAATACAATTTTGAAGTAAGGAGAGATGTGGAGTCATATGATGAGAAGCACCAGAGTCAAAAATCCAAACAGACGAAGAAATACCTGAAGAAGAACCAAGCAAACCTGAATGAAGGAAACAATGGAGGCAAATGGGGATGGCTGTGAGGTAGATAATATATGCTGAAGCTGACAAATCTGAGCAGTTAGGGAAGCCAAATTAGGATCAGGAGCTGAAGCGGATGTAGTGTACGCAGCGGGAGAAGCCCAGAATTGATTCTGAGACTGCTGAAAAGATGTGGCAGACAGACATCTCTTCTTAGGACAATGGTACTTCCAATGGCCTTTCTGATGGCAGAAAGCACACTCATCAGAAGCCAGAGACATAACAGTAATCAGAAAACTGAGAGGTTCAAGTATAATCAAACAAAATAGCCAAACCAAGAGTTTAAGTGTAATACTCAAAATCTGAGGGGGCAAACTAACTTTCTAGTGTAATATGCGGGGGATGGTTAGGGGCAAATTGTAAATAAAAGCTTTTCCAGGTCAACTAACAACAAAAACAGAACCAGAGAGATCAAATTTATTACAACCAGAATCTTAACCCAAAGACCCACAAATATTCCCAAGTCAGATGGACGGAACTAGAAGCACCAACCCACAAACATCCACAGAGAGATATTGAAGTTGAGAAGAAAACCAGAGGATGAAGTCAAGCGAAAGGGACAAGATAGAGAGATTGCCCTTGCAAACTGAAGTGAGAGAACCGAGAGAGTTTGCGTTTGCGAGATCGAATCCCGATTGTGGAGAGATAAGAAGATTATGAACAACTTCTAGAATTCGAACTCAGATGGGTTGCTCAAACTCAGATGAGTACTGGAGCCAGCGAACAAGATCAAAAACAGAGATGATTTCGAACCAGAGGGAGAAAATTTGAACAATCAGAGGTGAGAACTAGGGTTTCGGCCTCAGCTCTGATACCATGTAAGATTTCTGAAAGCTTTTCTGTATATTCCATTGTATCAAAGATTACAATCAGATCTTAGATTATATAGCCCCAAATCCTAAACCAAAAAGAAAAATACAAATACAATTATGTCTCTAACAGGACTAACACAATCATGCCTCTAATAGGACTCTAATTTGTACAAAACACATAACAATATATTCTATATTCTCACAAGTATTTGTAAAATGATATATAACTCTTATTAAGGAGTCTACGGCCATGTTTGGTTTGTATTTGTGAAACAAATTTGAAAAATGATTTTCTAGAAAGAGTTTACAAAATTTGATATTTTTTTTGGTTGTATGTTTTGAAATAGTTTTGGAGTTTTGGAGTTTGGGATTTTATTTTTTATTTTTTATTTTTTGTAGTTGAATAGATGGATGTGAGACAAAAAGTGATTGATTAATGTATTGTGGAGAAAAAAGTCATTTTGGATTTTTTTTTCAAAAAATTTCAACCAAACAAATTTTGGAAATTTTTGAAACCAAACAAGGCCTACACCTCTGTTAAAAATCCTTCTACTTATTCTCACATACATCTCAGCGCAAAACTACCTGAATGCGTGCCCCTGATCTTGTCTGCAGGCTTCTAATAGTCTCCCCACCTTTTCCTATGATTACACGAACCTAGAACAGAAGAAAGTTGAGATATGGCAGGGTCAGAAAGAAGCAATAGAGAGACAGAGTGGAAACCCACAAGAAAAGGAGACAAAACTCACCTTCTCATTTGGAACTTGTATGAGAATTTGATCTGCAGCCCCAGCAGCCTGAACAGTACTGAAGCCCCTAGCCACATGGGCAGGGGAACCCCCTGCATCAGCCTATCAAAGCATAAACATGGTTTTAGCAAAAGGAAAATTCAGAACTACTATCACCAAAAACAAACTGTAACACCAAAAGAACACAGTACAACACACTGGTTAACCGTAAACAAAAAGTAGGACCAATTAAGGAGAGGAAGAAAGAAAAAGAGAACAAATCAAACAGCATGAGACCTCTTCTATAACATCCTTAATCAGCTTTTCAGCCTTGTTTATATTTTCCAAAGTTCCTATCAGCTCCACAGGCCTGGTGGAAGAATAAGGATCAGCTTCACCATCCCTTGTGATCTGAACCTTGGCACCTGAATTGATTTGCAAAAACCATATAGTATCCCCAGCCTGGCCAATGAGTACACCAACCTGAACCAACATGTGTACAACAATCTTTAAGGAAACATCTTAAAGAATATAGAAGCTTGCTAATTCCATAGATCAAAGCAGACTAAATATTAAGTGTTGATGAGCCGTATGGTGAGACATAAGAAGATTGATACTAAGCATGCCCCTCTCTGATGCAGTACTAATGATTATTTTCCATCACTCAAGGGCTCAAAATTAACATCATTTTTACAAATAACCCAGTATTTATTAAACCAATTAGTTCTCTAATCTGCTTCAGGCTTCCATCCTTCAAATTAGTCCATCAATCAAATCTACAGCAAATTACATTTCTCCTTACCTTTATTTTTATTTAATTAATTATAATTTTTTTTTGCAGGTGCGTGAGGGGTGAGGGAAAGGTTGACCTATCCTGCTTGAAATTTAGCTTCTTCTTAATAATCAGGCACTAAACCCAAGCAACAATGTTCCTCAACATCAGAAGAACCCAAATTGGGTGTACAGTAATATTTTAAATTCACCTTATTATTAGGAACCTCCATTTTCCGTGACATTGTTTGACTCTCAGATACAGGTTGCTCTTCCACAGAAGAAAAATCCCCCTGTTGAGGAACTTCTGCTGAGGGTGGTTCCTGAAGCTCCCTTCTGCATGGCTGTTCCCGAGCACTTTCCAATTGCGGATTTGCAATGGAGGGTGGCTGGATGTCCTCTTTCTCATGATCATCAGTAGAAGGAACTTGTTCATTGTTCACAGTCTCTGAAGCTCCCTCTGTAGACTGCTGAGTATCCACTGGCTCGGTATTATTATTCTCCTCAGATGGCTTTTCAGCACCCTCCTCCGCAAGTTCATCTCCCTTCTCTTCTTGGACTCCGTTCTCAGCTACTACCACATATGAAAGAGCAAACAGTTAAACATAAAATTTACAATTCAATCAAGAAACCTAGTGGTATGAATCCAGAAACAATATATACACACATCCACACAAACTCAAGCTCACATAGCACACCCCTACATTCCCATCCAATCAGGGTTTGACAGGACATCAAAATTACCTCTTTTTTCCCACAATGTATCTTCTTTCCAAACAAATGGAATCACATGAGAGCTCAGTTTCAAGATTTTTATATGAAAAATTCAATCTTTACGGATAAAAATTTCCACATAAATAAATGGAGGCAATCTAAGTACATGAGTGTATATGCCCATGAAAATAGTAGAAACAGAGAAAATGCATTTTTAGTCTAAAAAACTAGTGTGACAAAACCACAATGCCAAGACCCTAGCCACACAATCGGACCAAATCTCGCGGAGAAATGAAAACAATACCTGAGCTGTTGAGCTTCTCCTCCAAACGAGGTCGTTTCGCTTCGGACTCGTCGGAACCACCACCTTCGACAGCCTCCTCCTCTTTCTCCTCCACCTCCTCCTCAGCTCTCTTGATGGAGTCCAATTTGTTCTCATTCGCATTTGAGTCAGCCATCAGTGTTTCAGGCTCCAAATCTTCATGCTTGCGCTTGTGATCCAACGGCGCAGGACTTGAAGGGATCTGAGTTGAGGCACAAAGCAGCTTTCTGAGGCCCAAAGCAGCTGCCTGCTGAGCGGCCAAGCGTATGTGCTCAACGCTCAAGCTTGCTGGATGCGGGAGTCTATTAGCCAGCTCAGGAAAATTTAGTCGTGCACCATGTCCCCTGAAGTGAAATGCAGCTGCATCATATGCTGTAGCAGCCATTTCAGGCGTCTCAAAACTTCCAAGCCAAATTCGACTTCTATGGCCAGGCTCTCGTATTTCCGACACCCATTTCCCCCCCTTTCGCTTACGAACTCCCCTGTATGTCGAACCAGCACCACCACCACCGCTGCCGCTACTATGACTGTTACTCGACTCTTTCATACCATATATTAGGGGCGCTTGCAGATCGGTTATGTGCGGTTCGGATTGCGGGTTGGACCCGCCCGATTGATAGTTGGTTGGGAAAAAGTGAACCCGCAACCGTCCGTAGTGCGGATTCTGAAAAATAAATGGATAATTCAATTCCACCCTCCATGGCTTAAAACAAACAGGTATATATAAAAGCAAAACTAACACAATAAATCAAGCAATTTTTCATTGTCTTCTACATCAAACAAGCCCATCAAATTGAGCAAAACACCCATAAAATTTCCATTTCCGTAAATTAAAAAGTAATGAACAACCAAAATCACCCACAACCTCATAAATCAACCGATTGGACAATACTTTCCCAAATCAAGACCAATAAATTCCGTTGTCAGTGTATCACATGGGAGACAAAACTCACCTTCTCGTTTGGAACTTGTATGAGAATTTGATCAGCAGCCCCAGCAGCCTGTACAGTACTGAAGCCCCTAGCCACAAGGGCAGGGCAACCCCCTGCATCAGCCTATAAAAGCATAAACATGGCTTTAGTAAAAGGAAAATTCAGAACTACTATGACCAAAAGCAAACTGTAACACCAAAAGAACACAGTACACACTGGTTAACCGTAAACAAAAAGTGGGAGCAATTAAGGAGGAGTGGAAGAAAGAAAAAGAGAACAAATCAAACAGCATGAGACCTCTTCTATGACATCCTTAATCAGTTTTTCAGCCTTGTTTATATTTTCCAAAGTTCCTATTAGTTCCACAGGCCTGGTGGAAGAATAAGGATCAGCTTCACCATCCCTTGTGATCTGAATCTCGGCACCTGAATTGATTTGCAAAAACCGTATAGTATCCCCAGCCTTGCCAATGAGTACTCCAACCTGCACCAACATGTGCACAACAATCTTTGAGGAAACACCTTAAAGAATGTAGAAGCTTGCTAATTCCATAGATCAAAGCAGACATAAGAAGTGTTGATGAGCCATATGGTGAGACATAAAAAGATTGATACTAAGCATGCCCTTCTCTGATGTAGTAGTAACGATAATTTTCTCTAAGCATGCCCTTCTCTGATGCAGTAGTAATGATTATTTTCTCTAAGCATGCCCTTCTCTTATGCAGTAGAAATGATTATTTTCCATCACTCAAGGGCTCAAAATTAACATCATTTTTACAAATAACGCTGTATTTATTAAACCAATTAGTTCTCTGATCTGCATCAGGCTTCCATCCTTCAAATTAGTCCATCAATCAAATCTACAGCAAATTACATTTCTCCTTCCCTTTTTTTTTATTTAATTTATTATTATTATTTTTTGCAGGTGGGTGAGGGGAAGGTTGACCTGTCCTGCTTCAAATTTAGCTTCTTCTTAATAATCAGGCACTAAACCCAACCAACAATGTTCCTCAACATCAGAAGAACCCAAATTGGGTATAAAGTAATATTTTAAATTCACCTTATTATTAGGAACCTCCATTTTCCGTGACATTGTTTGAGTCTCAGATACAGGTTGCTCTTCCACAGAAGAAAAAAACCCCTGTTGAGGAACTTCTGCTGAGGGTGGTTCCTGAAGCTCCCCTCCAGATGGCTGTTCCTGAGCACTTTCCAATTGCGGATATGCAATGGAGTTTGGCTGGATGTCCTGTTTCTGATGATCATCAGTAAAAGAAGCTTGTTCATTGTTCACAGTCTCCGAAGCTCCCTCTGTAGGCTGCTGAGTATCCGCTGATTCGGTATTATTATTCTCTGCGGATGGCTTTTCAGCATCCTCCTCCATGAGTTCATCCACCTTCTCTTCTTGTACTTCGTTCTCAGCTACTACCACATATGAAAAAACAAACAGTTAAACATAAAATTTACAATTCAATCAAGAAATTTAGTGGTATGAATCCAGAAACAATATATACACACATCCACACAGACTCAAGCTCACATAGCACACCCCTACATTCCCATCCAATCAGGGTTTGACAGGACATTGTTTTTTTTTCCCCCCACAATGTATTTTCTTTCCAAACAAATGGAATCACGTGAGAGCTCAGTTTCTAGATTTTTATATGAAAAATTCAATCTTTAAGGGTAAAAATTTCCACATAAATAAATGGAGGCAATCTAAGTACATGAGTGTATGTGCCAATGAAAATAGTAGAAACAGAGAAAATGCATTTTCAGTATAAAAAACTAGTGTGACAAAACCACAATGCCAAAACCCTAGCCACACAATTGGACCAAATCTCGCGGAGAAATGAAAACAATACCTGAGCCGTTGAGATTCTCCACCAAACAAGGCCGTTGCGCTTCGGACTCCTCGGAACCACCACCTTCGACAGCCTCCTCCTCAGCTCTCTTGATGGAGTCCGGTTTGTTCTCGTTCACATTTGAGTCGGCCATCAGTGTTTCAGGCTCCAAATCTTCATGCTTGCGCTTGTGATCCAACGGCGCAGGACTTGAAGGGACCGGAGTTGAGGCCCAAAGCAGCTGTCTGAGGCCCAAAGCAGCTGCCTGCTGAGCAGCCAACCGTATGTCCACAACACTCGAGCTTGCCGGATGCGGGAATCTATTAGCCAGCTCAGGAAAATTTAGTCGTGCACCATGTCCCCTGAGGTGAAATGCAGCTGCATCATATGCTGTAGCAGCCATTTCGGGCGTCTGAAAACTTCCTAGCCAAATTCGAGTTTTCTTGCCAGACTCGCGTATTTCCGACACCCAGTTCCCCCATTTCCGTTTACGAACTCCCCTGTATATCGAATTGGCACCACCACCACCGCTGCCGCTACAATGACTGTTACTCGACTCTTTCATACCATATATTAGGGGTGCTCGCAGATCGATTGACTGCAGGTTGGGAAAAAGTGAACCTGCAACCGCCCGCAGTGCGGATTCTGGAAAATGGGTGGATAATTCATTTCCAACCTCCATGGCTTAAAACAAACAGGTATATAAAAAAGCAAAACTAACACAATAAATCAAGCAATTTTTCATTGTCTTTTACATCAAACAGGCTCGAATTGATCAAAACACCCATAAAATTTCCGTTTCTGTAAATTAAAAAGTAATTAACAACCAAAATCACCCACAACCGATTGGACTATACTTTGCCAAATCAAGAACAATCAATTCCATTTTCAGTGTATCGCATGGGCTAACGAGAGAGAGAGAGAGAGGCTTACAAGCTGCGATACGAAAAGAATAACCGAAGGTGTTGCGCCACCGGCCGTCCCGCACTACCGATCGCCGGTCGGTCACCAGAGAGAGAGAGATGAGATAGCGTCGGTCGAACGAGAGTGAGAGAGTGAGAGTTCTGCTGCTGAGAGGGAAGAAAAAATTTCGAACTTATACGTAGAAGCAAAAAAATCTAATCTCAAACGATCTGTAGTTAAAATATATTTTATTAATTTATCAATGAGTAATATTAGGGATCATGAAAAAAATATCATGAAATACATTATGAAAATTTTTCATCCTTTGATTAGTATTGATTAGTGTGTGGTATTTTATTGTGTGTATAATCCAAAGATAGATAATCTTTCATGATCATCTTCATGATATTTTTTTCATGATCCCTATCATTACTCTTTATCAATTTGTATTAATTTATAATTTTATGTGATGGTGTATATTTTTACTAGTGTATATCTGTGTGCACAGTATAAACAAAAGTAAGTGAATAAAAATTAAAAAAAAATTAAATAAATATGGAAGAAAATAAAGAAAGGAGAAAATAAAAAAATAAAAATAAAAGGAAGAAGTGAAAAAAAGGAAAAAGTAAGAGAAAAATGAGAAAGGAAGACATATCACAATCATTATTTTGTAATTTAAACAGATCTGAGCTGTCCAAATGTAACAAATGTGTATAGGACAAATTTAAAAATCATCCTGTTTTATTATATAGATTTATTCATTTATATTATTTTATAATTTTATGTGTTGGTATATATTTTTACTAGTGTATACTCGTGTTTGAATATATTGTGTAAATAAAAATAAGTGAAAAAAAAAAAGAAAAAATTAAATAAATAGGGAGGAAAATAAAAAATGGGATAAAATAAAAAAATTAAAATAAAAGGAGGAAGATGGAATCATAGAATTATTATTATTCATGGAATCATAGGAGGGTGAGTGAAAAAAGATTAAAAAAAAGATAAAAAAGTGAGAAAATAGAATATATCACCGCTATTATTTTATAATTTGAATGGATTTAAACCGTACAAATGTCTATAAGATTATACTTTATTATATAGATATTTATTTGTATATTATATTATATTATATTTATTATAAATTAAATTAAATAAAAAAATAAAAACAAAAATGAAGTCGGCACGGCAGCCCGCCGACACTCAACCCACTCGAATCAATAATGCATATGGTATATATAATAAAATAATATATTATAATACTATTTATTTGACTTTATTTGCAGATCTTTTGCTTATAAAGGCTACGTTTGATCGGGGGTTTGAGACGGTGAATTGGATTATCAATTTATGAGGCTCATTAAATTCTTAGATTATCTCTAATGATTTACTAAATTTGATATTAAATTTAAATTTTGATAAAAAAGTTACTGTTTGGTGCTCTAACGGCTGCACTAAATCGATATCAAAATGAGATTTCACCAAACGATTCATCAAACTGATGACAGGTTTCGCATTTCACCAAAACACTGTACATGACCGTTGGAGGGAGACGAACCGGTCGACCAACCGGTTGACTACCCGGTTGATCAACCGGTTGTCCATGAAAAAGTTCAAACAATTCAACATTTCTGGTTCAAACAATTCAAAAAAAAAATAAAAAAAATTGGCTTACCGGCCGACCAATCGGTTGTCCCGAAAAGAGTTCAAACAGTTCAACATTTCTGGTTCAAACAATTCAAAAAAAAAAAAATTTCCCTCACCGGTCGACCGGTCGGTCGACAAACCGGTTGTCCCGGGACAGATTTGGTGAAAGGTGAACCGTTGGAGCATCTGGTACCAAATTGGGAAAAATGGTGATTTTTTTACTCAGATTTGGCGAAAAGTTTGGTAAACCGTTGAAGATGCTCTTATAAAGGTCATGTTTGATAAGGAGTTTGTGAGGGTGGATTGGATTATTATTTCGTGAGACTCATCAAACTCTTATTTGGATATAATAAAGTGTTATAGGATTAGCAGTGAAGGGAGCTTAGGGTCTGTCTGATAACGTTTACGTTTTCAGTTTATATTTATAAAAATTTTATATACTGGTTTTTGTTTATTTTTTATTTATTTTTGAAAAAACATAAATTACAAACGCGTTTGGTAATTGACAAAATATTTAAAAATTTTAAAAAATAAAAAAAAGAGTGAGAAATGACAAGTGGTGGCAAGTGGCGGCGGAAGATGGTGGTGGAAAGTGGTGACGGTGGGTGGTGGGTAGCGGGTGGTGGTGGGTGATAGCGAGTGGGTGGTGGTGGTGGTGGTGGTGGCGGGATTTTCATTTCTTGTGGAAAACGTTTTATAAAAATATTTTTCGTACAATATGTTTTCCTATGTATGATTGTCGCCTTGAAGTTAATATGCTAGTGTGGTGGTGGGGGTGGCGGTGGCAGTGGGGGTGGTGGGTGGTGGGTGGTGATGGCAGGTGGGTGACGGATGACGGGTGGTGGTGGTGGTGGTGGGTAGGTAGGTGACGGTGGCGAGTGGTGGGTGTCATGACCCGCTCCCCGTACCCAATAGTTAAGCATCGTGATGCCCGGTAACTGAAGTTACCTCCGACCAATTATTAAATAAATTAATAAATGCAAGCGGAAGAAATATTTAAATAAAAGTACCAAAATAATCATTGGAGCTTCTATTTAATTAAATTGTTAGAGCTGAACTATCTCTATAAGTGCTTCGTGCCTACCTTACGCGCTAACCTTGGCATGTCACCTGAAAGTGGTAAACAACTATAAGCATATGACAGAGTGAGAAATATTATACTAAGAGTATAAGGGCATAAAATTCACCATGGATAATTATTGGCTAAACAGAGCTTGATATTAAAATGCAGAATATATAATACAGAGATTAAATACGGAAATCATAACCACGGTACATAACGGAACAGAACAGATGTATGGACTCAAGAGATGGCTCATACGAACTCTAGAGGTGGCTCCCACCATAGTGTAGCACTTAGTTCCGTATAGCACTTTGCTCCACACCAGAAGTCATAACCACGGTACAGAACCGGACAAATGTGTGGACTCAAGAGGTGGCTCGTATGAACTCTAGAGGTGGCTCCCACAATAGTATAGCACTTAGCTCTGCACAGTACTTTGGTCCGCACAGAACAGAGGTACGGATTCAAGACGTGGCTCGTACGGATTCTAGAGGTGGCTCCCACGATAGTGTAGCACTTAACTCTGCACAGAACAGAGGTCAATGGATCAAAGGACCACAAAGTAACTAAACAGAGACCAATGGTTATTTAAGTCCCCCAAGACGTGGGACTCCCGTGGTAGTACTTACAAAACATAATTGTATATAAGGTCACAGCCAAATATTCTTTAAAACATAAACAAACATATCTATGGGTTTCCTTTTCAGAAATAGGGTTCAGAAATTAAACCACGTAACTGAAATATTTATATAATTTATAATAGTTTATAAAACATAACTTGTATAAGATAAATATGATAAGTCAAAACATACGTAAAACATATTTTGGTGACTCAAGGTATAATATAACTCACCTTAACTTTAATATCTCACTCTTTCTTTTCACTACCAAAAACCCTCTCAACTTTCATTATTTTTTCTTTTCTCTCTTTCCTTTCATTCTCTTTTTTGCGTTTCCTTTTTATTCTTCCCTTCATAGCCCCATTCCTTCTTTATACAAGTGAAATGCTTGCCCAACAAGCATCAAGAGCACACGTGGCCATGCCACATAACCCTCCCTATATATAGTTGGCATCATCACCTATAGGCTTTAATCTTATCCTTAAAAATGGATAAGTATAGATTAGTTAATTATTTATACTTTGACCACCAAATTTCTTACTAATTATATTGTTACAAAATAAATTATATATATATATATATATATTTTTTCAACCGTAATTAAATAATATTAGTATAAATTTTACAGAATAATTAAAAATCTGAGTTGTTACACTAAAATTCAGCTCATCATGTATAATGTTCTTACCAATTCCTAAACGATTATGTGTGTTACCTCATGCTTTGAATTGCTTTACATGTCATGTTAGTAGCTAAATTTATTAGTTGCATATTTGTATGCATTGCATTAGCCATTTTGCATATTAGGATCATGCATTTTTCTAACTATATTTTTTCTTTGGCATGTCTCGGTTGAGTATTAGGGGAGCATTTTTTACTTTAGCATAGTGCATATGTGTTTATGTTGCCATATCAAGAATACTACCATAAGGTTACGTGTTTATTTGAAATACCTCTTTGAATGCCTGTGAATGAAATCTATTTCGCTTAAGTTGGAATGACTTTGATTAGTATACATGCGAATTCACTTTTCCTTCAAGTAGCACATATTCAAAACTCTTTTCAAACAAACATAAAATCAAAGCATTCCAAAATAAGTGATGTGATATATACTTGTTTACTTCACATAGTAATGTTTAGTATATTAATAATCGGAACAAGAGTATACAATGTAATGGGTAGCGGGTGGTGGCTAGTGTTGAGTGGTAAAAAAAAAAAAAAAACTCAAAACTCAAAACGGAAACACATTTTTTGAGTTTACTTTTTTTGGCCAAATTTATAAACTGAGACCATTGATTTATAAATCAAAAATTTACCAAACAAATTTTTATTTGAGTTTTTAAAATTTTTGTAAATATAAACAGAAAAATAAAAACGTAAGTGTTACCAAACGGCACCTTAGTAATCCTATTAGCCGGTGTGAATTTTAGGTAGGATTAAGAAAATAGTGAGGAGATTGAGTCTATTTTATATAAAAAATTATTTTTTTAATTTTATTTTTTTTACCAAGTGTACCTATTTGTTTTATATTTGTTTTAGTTTTTTTTAATATAAAAATAATTTATTTATTTATTTTATGTAAAAATAATTTAACAATCCCATCACTTATCATCTCTCACACTATCATCAAAACAAACACACTTTTACGTAATCTCCTCACTAACAATTCACACATTAACAATCTCCTCACGAACAATCCTCTCACTAATAATCTCATCTAACCCAATCCGCCAAACAAACGTAAAGGACCAACAAGTAGAGAGGGGAGCTCAGTGAAACAGAAAGAGAAGGAGAATGAAAATAAAAGAAAATAATGAAAGTAGAGTGAGAAAGTTTAGAGTGTAAATATCTGGGTTCAGCTTATTTCATGTTGAGATT